TTCAGATACCATTTTTTTTTTTTTTTTGGCGACAAATTAAGTAGGCACGTTTTATAGAATTTGTGCATGTCACGCGTTTTTAAGGGGTTGTTTGCACATTTACCTATTTAAAATATTACAATCGACCCCTGTCTATAATCACGACTATATATACTGAAATAAAATTATACTGTACATATAACTATTCAAATATATGAAATAAAAAAATAACTTTTATATATCTTGTTTTTTATTAATATTGTTAATAAAAGATATATTATAATTTTACAAATTATTTAATGTCTGTAATTTTTTTTAATAAAAAAATTTTTTACTTATATTTAAATTAAATTTTTTATATTCTTTTTATTTCATTAAGAATGATTATTTTTTTTATCATATTTCTTTAATTAATATTTAAATAATTTGTAATTATTTGATTTTATTACTTTTTTTTAAAAAAATATAAATATAATCAATTATTGTATGTCTAAAAAACATTGAATTTAAATTTTTTATTTCAAAAAAGAATTATTTTCATTTTTGCAAAATATAAATTAAATAATAAAAAAAAAAAATTTTTTTTTAAAATTTATGTAGTATTGCAATTTATTTTTTAAAAATTATACAAATTGAAAAATAAATTGTTTTTTATTGAAGATTGATTCTTTAAAATTTAGCAAATCTGTATTATGACCATTAATAATATAATAATAATAATATTATTATTATTAAACAATTAAATAAAAATTTTCGTATAATAGTAATAAGCAATAGCAAAGAACACGGCGAAGATAAATGCTTGACACATTAATTGAGTCGACAGAAAGTAATTTCTACCAAAGTATCAGATTATCACTTGTACTGTAGAAAATAAAAATTGTTAAAAAAATTTTCAATTATTTCTGAATAAATTTTACAATTACATAGTTTGATAATACTCAAGTCTACCGAAGCGCATTGAAACTAGACCACAATCACAGACATAAATTAAGAATTATTAAATAAATTAGCAATTAAATTCGACATTAACAATATAGACCAAAGCATTTGTTCCAAACATCAATACTTGAACTCTTCCGTAAAAAAATTTAGGTTATCACATCCTTTTAAAGAGGTTTTTCATAAATGAATATATACCATGAATTATTAATGAGTACATTTCTTTTCTAAAGATATATTAAATTCCTTGAACAACACGAGGCCATCTTTGACGGAATTTTTCGAATAGCAGGGGCTTTGTCCGTGCCAAGGCGCCAGGGTCTTCAGCAAGAGCCACAAATGTAGTCGTAATTCCAGAATCAATAGCATCGGTTACAACAATCTAATTAAAAATAGCATTTCAAGGATTAAAATTAAACGCATATTATAGTTTCCAATTATAAGGGTTAAATTACTTACCGCCATTGTCAATCCAAGCAAAAAACAAACCACAACAAATAAAAACACTTCAAGGCCGTTGTCT